GACACATCAACTGCCTACAGAAGCCAGACTGCTTCATTTCTCAAGTGGAACAATGCTTTCACATGGGTATCTCACGAGGTCTTGTAACATAGTGCCACCACAGCGGTGGCAGATGCCCCTCCTTACGAGCTGGAGGCAGAGCTTCAGTTCTTGGACCATCAGCTGGAGTTTCTTCCTCTAACTGCTTAATCTAGAAGACAAGACAAAATTTCTTTAGTTCATAAATGCACATTTCCATAATGTACCTCTCAGTGCCCCAGCACTAAGCAAAACTGGCCCCCGTTTCAGAAGGGAAGAACCAGCAGTGACATCGGCGGTTCACAGACAGGTTTCATGCTTTCCAGTATTCTGAACACAGTAATCACTGCATGCTCCTATTACCTAATTAAGATGGAAATTTTAGGAGTAAAAAGTGATTTACGAAAGAAATCTCATTTAAAAGGTCATTATTTCCACATGATTCATGTCTACCACTGCTACACTAAACAGACTTGATTCTCTTGCTGCTTTGAAAGCTGCCAGATGATTACAAGTCCTGAACAACTTCCACCCCAGCCTGCAGACCACTATTTCTGCACGCCACCAGCAGCCCTCTAGATGTTTTCAAAACATGTTTCTTGAAGCAGGCTTCACAGTTTCTTGAAGCAGCATAAGTGCTGGCTGCCACTATTGTTAATTCTGGTAAAAGTGTCATACTACAATCCAACTATTTCTCTACAACTGGAGAACTATTCTAAGAACATCAACTTTTCCCAACTGAACCTCAGTTTAAGATGGCCAGAAATTAGTCTTGATTCCCAACTGATGTCAACACTGCGGTAAGACACCTTCAAAGGTGCAACCAGAAACTGTGAGAGCTTCCCAGCATCAGAAAATAAATTCTGTGGTCCTTAATCTCCTCTCATCTCACTATGGAATTTCTTTTAGCAAAACTGCTGCAACAGCCCTGCATTAACTGAAACATGGTTGGAGGTTCAGTTTTAACTTCAGAATCCCTTCACAGTCTTTGAGTTACAGCTTCTTAAAGATCTCTGTGTAGGCATTTTAGGTCAAGTCAGTGTTTCACACTGACAAGAGTTCTAATAAAGCAGACTAACTGAGACTGCAGCAGGCATTCAATAATTTTTTCCAAGAACATATCTAGATTTAGCACAAAAGTATTTTGTGCTAAAGCAGCTTTACTTTGCACTGAGCAAGCACTGACCTCTTTATCCCAGCTCTCCTGCCGCAGCTTCTTCCATTGCTCTCGTTTGGCAAAGTAATCAGGATACATTGCCTTCTCAGAAGGATGCCAGTAATCCAAGCACCACTCAGGCAACTGTTAACAAAAACCATGATTTTTATATATTACTTTTAAATGTGAAATCATACACAGTACACACACATATAAAAACCTAAATGCAATTGCTGAAGCCAGTATTAAAATGGATAAATAACCCAGGATATAAAGTACTACATAAAAACACCATTTAAGAGCTACCCAGCTATTGTTAGTCTCAAGGCGTTGTATGGTAGAGGTCAAGTACTTTCAATCTTTGTTTCACACATTATCCTAAGTCACAGGAAAACTTCATAGAGACCTGCTTAAATCACAGCATCCCAAAGAAAAGTCCCAGGTCATCTCAGTTTGCTCTAAGGTTCTCAAAATAATTCCATCTGGTGGAAGGGAAAATCTCATTACTTCTCTTACTTCTCCCAAAGGCAGCAGGTTAGACACATTCTTTTCTCCATCTCCTTATTTATTTTATTTGACAGAGACAGAACCTTACAGCTCATTTCTGCTTGTCTACAACAACTAAAAAAACAGTGACCTTTATCTTGATAATGGTCAGACCTCTAAGATGTCCAGTCAAGAAAAAAGCCAAATTAAAAATACTGCAACAGCGTATCACTAAATGTTAACATTTTAAAGACAAGAACATTGATTAAAAAAACAAAACTAAACCCCACCAAAAGCCCCCATTCTTAAAAAAAGAAAATTAATAAGTTGCTCCAATACTACCACTAAGTAACATTTACATTTCCAGTTTCCTACTGTATCATCACTGAGTAAACCTTTGACTGAACAGCAATAGCAGAGCTGCCAATAATAATATAAAAAGAAATCCACACACAGCAAACAGCAATTAAAACCATCAAACAGCCTGAGATCTAAAAAATTACATTTTATAGTAGCATCCACAATGGACACTCACTGATGTATCAACAAGCCAAATCCCTGTGACAGCCATTTTGTGAAAGGACAGTTTGAGCATATCAAATAGGGCAAAGAAGAGAGAACATAAACCAGTTTGTATTTCTACATGAAGACTAATCTTGACCATTTATTCTTCAACTGGCCTTTTTTCTGTCCAGATTCACTATTATCTCTACTACTGCTAAGGCCCACAACCTTGGTATAAGCTTAAATTCTCCTCTTCCCTTTTCACTCATAGCTTCTTTTTTCTGCCTCTGATAACTACGTCAGATTCTCCCTTTCACATGGCTTCTTATGCATAAAGATCTGATCAGATCTAATCTTGTGTCAGCACTTTCTTCAAATCCAGGAGAAAATGGGTGCATGCACTCTCTAGGTTAGTATTAATTTCTTGTAGTATATTAAAAGAGTCAATGCCAATAAAGTGAAAACCCTGTGTTTTTCTATGAAACCCGTTTCTTTACTCCTAAATAAAAAAAATCTAGCGGGGGAAAAAAGCCTCTAGAAATGCCTTAGGTTCTAAAAATACAGCTTCTATTTTTAGAGATACCACCTATCACAGTGACGCACAGATATGTATCTAGCACTAAAGCATATGAAGGGAAATGATAATTTGTACCATTACTCAAAACGCTGGAAGAATGATGGGACCGAATCCCCCGACAGCCAAGCTGATAGCTGACAAGACTAGAGAGAAACCAAAGCCGTGACCAGATGGCACCACAGCGGGCATCACAGTTTCCTCCACACTGCTTACTCTCACAGCTCAGTTCCAACCCTTTCACTGTGCCTGCCTGACCCATCGCTGAGCAGCTTCTATTTGGCAAAAGAGCAAAAGTCCCTGCATAAAGAAGCTAGCTGTGTTCAGGCAGACCACCAAACTCCATTTTCAGGGATCTGACAAGCAGGACAGCTTCTTCCACACAAGCAGCAAGATGTTCAGCACCACAAAACTACTACTGAAATGATATTGTTGAGCCAAGCTGCAGTGCTATGGAAGTCCACTTAAAGCACTCACTTTACATTCACTAAAACAAGAGCAAGGCAAGCACAGTAATACAGAACTTCACAGGCCACCTTACCTTGTAGCACTCATATCTCTCATAGGCAGTGCCCCCCGGGGAGTCAGAGAAGATGTACGGCTGAGGATGCTGGTTCGCCCAGAACTCCTCCTCGCCTGCCCTCAGCAGCTCCGTAGCTTTCACCATATCCTTCACATCCTTGTTCTTATCGAATCGTTCTCTCAGGAGGCAGGCAAAGTAGCGGTACTTGTCTCTATAGAGATTGAGTGACGTGTAAGAAAACACTAATCGTATACAGAAACGAAGTTTGGCAACATCACCAGTCACCCCTGAGCAAAGACAGGATTTGGTCAAGGGCCTCTGAGGAGCTCCTGTTCCTACATCGCCTTTTTCTGTGGCAAGCCCTCCCAAGTGACTCCAGAGGGGTTTTCCCTCACCCCTTCAGCCACTCCTGGGCCAAGGGAAAGACAGAGGACAAAGCGCCAGTCAAGTCCAACGCCCTGTCTCAGCAAGGAAGGGAAGGGCAGGCCAGACACCGCGCCAGGCCCCCGCCCAGCTAAGCACGAAGCTAGAAGGCCCCGCTCCCAGGAAGGCCAGGCCTCCCCAGGCCCATTTCCCTTCACCTCTTACCGGTAGACGCACCAGGACTCCAGGTGCCGCAGGGATTTCTTATAGAGCCGCAGCACCTTCTGCTGGTGCGTCAGGTAGGCCGCCATTTCGGGCCGTCCTACCCCTCACCTTCGCGCGCGGGGGGAGCCCCCCCTCTCTGCTCCTCTCCGCGGCGAGGGGCCGGGCGCGGGCCGCGCCGGTGGCAGGGCCTGACCCTCATCCAGGGCTTGTCGCCTCTGTGGTCCCTCTCGGTGTCGCCGGGGCTGCGATGCAGGCTGCCTCTGAGCCTGCAAGGAGCGTTTGGGAACGTTTCTAACATCGTTGGGGCTTACCGGCGGACTGCCGTGTGGCTCCTCAAACTCCAGGTTTTCTGCTTTTCTGACTGCCCCTCGTGCCCTTTTTCGCTTTGGTGCGCAAACCGTGGTTGTTTCCAATTGCATGGAATTGGCTTGGATGAATACGTTAATACTCTTAGGCAATTCGGCAGGAAGTATGTAAATAACTTTAGATGGTGGGTTCAGATTGAAGCTTTATTTGTGGCTAAGCAGCCTAATATTACCTTGGAAAATTTCCCGTCCCGCTAGAAAACCCTTCTAGAAACGTGGGCTCTGGCAGCTGAGGGGTGGTTGTTCTGACGCCTGTGCTTCAGGCGGGTCTGCAGGCTGCGGCTCAGGGAGAGCCCCGGCAGCCGAGCGAGCCGCACCGCCGGGGCGGGCCGGGCTGCATTGCAGGTTCTCTTGTTCCAGCTGCTGGCGCGGGCAGTGGGAGGGAAAACGGGCACTTACATGAGGTAGTCTGCTGCTGATCCCACCCGTGTAAAAGCTGTATGTGAGATGTTGCAGTTTCCCTTCTCTGTTACTGCTTGTTGTCAAATTTGTATTTTCATGTGAAAAGCAGAACTGCAATAAACAGTGTATGTGTATTCCCTCTGGTGATTGTAAGGGCGTATCTTATACACTCTAGAATAAGTCTGGAGTTTCACAGAAGGCCAAAATTTTATTTTTCTGATATTTCTAGTAAGGAGTAAACTCTCAAGTTATGCAAGTAAACTTATGCTTAAGCTTTATATGGCCTGTCAATGTAGTAGTCAGGGACAACTATGAAATGCTTTTCATTGTCTTCTCAAGTTGGCTAATGCTCAGAATTGAAATGTAGAATGACTAACATCTCATTTTCTATATTTGATTCTTCATAGATATTGGTATTAACCTAACAGATCCTATGTTCAGAGGAATCTACAGGGGAACACAAAAACATCAAGGTAAACATTTCTTTGTATCTGCTGAAAGACAGGATCAGTCTTATTAAAATCGAAGCCTCTTATCAGAAAGTGAGGTTAGATTTTTTTTCTTTTCTGCTCAGAAACTGGATGCTTATTTACTTGGCTTGAAGAAGACTGTGGCTTGAAGAAGAAAGCATGACAAAATAAGTTAGATGTTCTAAGCAAAATATATTCTTTTCTACAGAATTGCTATTAAGTTGTCATACTGGTAGCTCTGCTTCTAGTGCAAAATGGAAAATTACTGATGTATTTATGTTAGGATTGCATGGAAGAAACTGATCTGAGAATTACGAACAATAAACTACCAAAGTGTAGCATTGCTGAATTGTAGCTACTAATCATAACTAATGCTTTTTTGCTTTCACAGCCTGTAGATACAGATGTAGAAACAGTCTCTACTAAAGTATGAGAAAAACTTCTGTTGACTTCTTGTGATTTAAAGTGGGTCTTCAGTTACTACATTTCGTTTGTGTCTTCTAAAGATTAATAAAGTGTGGTTTAAAGATTGTTCATGATAGGCATTTTGACTGCATGAAAGTGATTTTTAGTTGAAAAGTAGTTAAATTATACTGTAAAATCTTAAGTTCAATTTATGGCATTTTTATGAACTTTCACAGATGACTTTTTGGATGTGGTAGAGAGAGCAGTCAAAGTTGGTGTTAAAAAGGTAATTTCTTGTCATAAAATTTCTTTAATGTTTTTAACTGCTTTCTAATACTTTGGTTTTTAGTGCTTTGTATTAAAAGTTTCTGGAACTTGCAGTGGAAAATGCAATAACTTTGTTCAATAGCATAAAGCAAAAGTGTTCTGTGCAGAGTGTTTTCTTTCATTTACACAGATCATTAGAAGCTGATTATTGCAGTTCAGTGCTATCATATGTGATAGGTATGTAGAATTTCTTTTGTACAGTTTCAAAAGAAAGATGTTTTCCTCTGACCTACTGCAGTCGAGTTCTTAATTTTCCATGTTAGCTGTATTATAGGCAGCCTGTCATCTTGTATTCTGAGTGATTCAGTCAACAGTTACCACTACAGATCAAAACTGAAAAATTGGTATGGTCATAATCCCTCAGATATTTCTCTGTATAAAGGAAATTTTTAATTGTAGAAGAGCCGGGAGTGCCTATAAAGTCTTACAGTTGAGACATCTGAATGTCGGCTAGTAAATACTAGCTTATGTGTATTTAAATTGCATTATTATGAGCAGGTTTGTAACTCTTAGCTTGAAATCAGTGCGTTCAGCTGTGAACCGCGCTCCTTTAGTTATAATAGTCCAGCCTGCTTATACATCTCTCTCTAAACTGAATAAATTGTCAACACAAAAATATGAATTAAAAAAGCATACAGTGCTCATAGTCACAAACTGTTGTACTGCTCTAATAAGGCTGATGGATTAGGAATAAAGAAATAAACCCACCTCTAGAAGAGGAACAGACATCTTGAATGTTTGCTGAAAGGTTCTCATCTGAAAAGAGTAGGAGATAAACTGGGAGACAAAAAAAGAAAACTAGTGATGGAGAAGCTACCACACCGCAGCAAGTCCAGAATCATAGTCACTTTTACTGCGTTTATATGTGCTGTGTAAGTAGTGTTTAATCTTTATACCACCCTCTGAAAGTAAGTGGCAATTTTCCTATTTTATCATCAAAAGTAGATTGGCTGCATAACTTTTTCAAGGTGCACAGTGGATTCAGAACTGGAGTTCGGGAGTTCCGTGCCCTTAGTTATGTCTTGAGTCTTGCTGCTGGCCTGTACAGTGTCAGAAGTCTATTTCATCCCAGACTGTTTCTACTTGCCTATAAGATTAATCTCTTTATTTGAAAATATTTCTATTTTTCCATATAGCTGCTGATTTATGGTAATTTTTTTTGTGAAGTTTTGCCCTGTGCTGTATGTACGCTGACACAATTTCAGTTTAATTTATTTTTCTGGTTATGTTGTTGGGACATGTCTGTCTCTAACAGAGCATACTGCAGAAATGTCTGACTTGGTGCTGATCAAGTCTGGTGTAGCATGTATAGGGATAAGAGCTGTCCAAAAGCAGTGTAGTCATGATATATTAGGACCTAGGCTGCAAGATACTGCAAGTGGTAGTTCAAAAAACAATCTGAGCAACAATTCTGGTGTAATAACCTTTGATCTTGAGGTAAAAATAAAAGATCGGAGCCAGAAATTCTTAAATTTGTAATCATGACTCTGATACAGACTCCTTTGTTGGTTTATCTACTTAACTTACTCGCATCTTGTTTTGGGTGTTAGGGAGTTTTTAGTTTCTCCGCCTGTAAAACAGGGAGATTATTTCTGAATTTCATTTCTTGAATGCAAATAAAGTTTCAAGTCATTATCTAATGAAGTTAATATTGATGCAAATAGTATTTTACTCATTTAATGGTTTAAATACTTATCATAGAACATATTTGATAAAGAAAAAAAATCAGGTTTTGATACGTATTTACTAGCTCCTGAGGACCACTGAGGTTTGTTACCAATTTATGAAATTCTGTCGTGTATATATTTATATCAGTAATTGCCTTCTGACGTTCTCTGCCTAGATTCTTACTTATATCTGTTTTCTTAAACATTGTTTGATGTTCAAAGGAGAACATACTTGCTGACACTGCTTTTCTTTCAAGTTTTTGATTACAGGTGGGAGTCTACAAGACAGTAAAGATGCATTGCAGCTGGCACAGACAAATGGTATTTTCACATTAAATTTGTGTTGTCAGTCAAAAATATAACCTTTTCCCCTCTCAGAATTAAGAGTTCACAAGGACCTTCCCCTGAAGGTGTTTACAGAATCTCAGATTAAAATGAGAAGTTATGTTTCAGAGTGGGGTGAATGCATTGTATATGAGTTTCTGTACATTTCTCTTTAGATCGCTGGATGTTGGAATGCATCAGTCCTTCCTGTAATTTCTATTTCTAGATAAAAATGGAAATTTCAGAAAATTTCTGGAATAAAAGTTTTGTTACAAGGGTCCCTTCTAGAAATAAGATAGAATACTTATATGGTGTGGAATATATGGGTTTTGCTGGTTGGTTTTTTTTTTTTTTTTCTTAGCAATCTATCATGACCAGCTTGAACACGAGGGTTATCTTTCTCTTTATGCTTCTCCTTGCTTTTCCTTTCTTTCTGTGAAGAGACAAATATCATTCCACTAATTACTTAAATATGTGTTTGAACTAAAACACATGTTAAAGTACTATTTATGAACAGAACCATAGAATAATTTTGGTTGGAATGAACCTGAGAAGGTAGTCTGGTCCAACCCAATCCACCTCCCCACTTCCATCAAAGCAGCTCTAGCTTTAGCATAAACTCACATGGCTTGGGGTGTTATATATTCTTTCCCTCCCCACTCATACTTTTACATTCTCCACAAAGGCATTTAGCAGAAGTGTTAGATTTGGCACTAAGGTAGTCTAGATTAGATACTTAGGTAAATCAGGTTAGATGTTACTTGTGGAATTTTCTAACAGCTAATGCAGAGACACACGATGGAAATTGCATGTTGTCTGCAAAACTTAAGCTGAGGATGACCTGATACATTTTGAGTGAGATGTATTTCTAGATGATCTCAAGAGGTCTCTTCCAACCTCAGCAATTGTATGATTTGTTGAGGGCCACTCCACCAGAGTAATTCAGCTTTGAGTTGCAGTTTTGGTGTATGCTAAATTATGTGTATAAAAAGAAACAGGTGCACACACCCCCACTAGAGATACAGTCTAACATTTTTAAAGCAGAAAATAGCAGTGTAATAAAATTATGACCAAGATAAAGTTGTTCAAAGAGAGGGGTTTTTTTAAATTATGAGCAGTAAAAAAAAGTTCAAATACAGATACTGTCTATACCTTATATAAATTTTGTTTCTTTTTTTCTTAAAACCTTCTGATACTATCTTGCTTTAGATGTGTTTTACAGTACAGTTGGTTGTCATCCTACCCGCTGTGGAGAATTTGAGCAGAGTAGTCCTGAACAGTATTTATCTGAATTAAAAAATCTGATTGAAAAAAATAAGACAAAGGTAATAGCAGTTGGAGAATGTGGCTTAGGTAAGTGTTATTTTAGTAGTTCAATTTATTTTTCTAGACATATATTAAAAAATTCTAAAACACTTAAGTGGTTTTTTGTTCTTTTTATTTGTAGATTTTGATAGATTAGAATTTTGCCCAAAGGACACCCAACTCAAGTAAGAAACTGTTGATGACTGTACATTGACTTGTAGCAATTTACAGGAGTGTTTTCTATCTTGTGTTCTACAAGGTAACATTTTGTCAGGCATAGACCTGCCATTTGCAGGGTTGGATATGGGTTTTTTTGGCAGAAATGGGACTTTAAAGATGCATGTCTACATTCAAGTAGTGTTGTGTGCTAAATTTTGCTACCTGCCTGGTGTTGACTTAGTATGACTTTTTCTGTGAAATCGATCAGAATGTGTGGGTTTCTGAGTGTGACAGATGTTCATTTTTGCTAATAAGAACTCTTAGAGACTCATGGGGACAACAACATAATTGTAGTATGTGAAAGAAAATTTCAATTGAGTGAAAGGCACGGGGAAGGGAACATAACTGTCAAAAAGGGTAAGTCAACAGTGGGAAAAAAATGAGCTTTTAAGGGAGGTGTTAGCTGGGAGCACATAATTGACAACTGATGAAAAAGGTAATCTCAGAGTTTTGAAGTAGTATCTGCAGCATAGATACTGAATGGAAAGAAGCTATCACAGCCCCTAAAATCAACTTGCATTCTTGTATCGAGAACTTCTGTCTACAGAGGCAACTGACTGAAAGATAAGAGTGATAAATTCAGATAAGACGAGTGATTAATGAATTGCTCTCACATATTATTGTTCTGAGTAAATTAGTCACTGGGGGGCAGTGGTTAGTTGTATTTTTTCTAATTGTCACATGTTAGCAGTAGGTAGGTTAATTTCTTCATAATGCTACAGTCATACAGTAAAAAATTCAGCAAGTGGACAGGACATTTTTGCTGGTAGAATTCAGTGTACAGTTCAGCCAAGCACACCTTGGAGCATAACCTATTTTCTGTGGCAAACTAGAACACTAGTGAAGTATCATATTTTAAGATCCTTACTGCCTTGATGTTATTGGGAGAAAAAAAATGTATCTGATTTTCCTTATCTGATGAACTGCAGCTGAAGACCTGTAGTGAAAACCTGATTAAGTGCACTGAAATTGGGTTGTGAGAAAAGAGGTGACAGGGTGGAACAGAAATACTTTTTAAAGTGGTAGGTGAGTCCTTTCTAATTATGGTTGATAACGACAGAAAGTCTTTATCTGAGCTATTTCAGTGAATCGTATGAAATACATAAATCTAGCTTCTCAGAGCTATTTGGGAGCCCTTCCTGGAAATTACAGTTGGAAGAAGGTGATTGATGAAACAGACAAAAAGCAAGAAATGTAAGAAAGTGAATAAATATTGAAAGCCTCAGGGATATATGCCTGCCAACATTGTGTTTGGAAATGCTCTGTTTTCTGAATGGACAGCTTTCCCTGTTCCTCATCCTCCATGTGTTTGTGAAACATGGTCAGGGTTTATGGTTGTTTTAATTTTTGCTAATTGAATGCTATGGAGTTGGATACAGTCTGGCTTTCATGACTTTTAGCAGGCTGGGTGGTAAGTTCTTCGAATTAATAGTCAATGAATGCTTTATAAATGAACTAAATCAAAGGAAGGCAACATGTGAAATGCACGGAGGCATGTCACTGGTTTTCAGCTGATGCATGTTCAGGTGTTGGAGCAGTCAGTGGAATAGCTCACAAGCAGCTGCAGAGTTAGTTACCCTGTAGAAGAGAGGTATGGTAGTTTCCCAGGGGGTAGTATCTGAGCATGACCTCTATTTGATTTAATGTTTAATCATTATTTTCTAGTTAGTTATGCTGTGTTTTCTTCTGGATAATTTTCACCTGTCAAAAAAACCCCAGTATTTTTTAAATCTTTTTTTCTTGGATTAAAAAGTTAATAAAGGTGAGGCTAATAAAGATTAAATTCCTTTGTTGAAGCAGCCCTAAGATCTTTGTTAGAATTTTTCTCCATTCTCATAACTTCTCCAACAAAAGGGGGTAGTTTGAATGTTAGTTGGATGAAGATACTGCCTTCATATTGCGGTGAAGGTCACAATATAAATGGACTGATAAGTGTATAGAAGTCTTACTTGTGCTGTGCTACTGGGAGGCGTTTGTGGGGCTTAACGACATGGAGACGGGAGGGCTTGTAATCAAATTGGAGGGGATGAACAAAATCACTTGCACTGTTATTCATACATGAATTCAGAATTGTTTGGGGATATTCTACCTCAGCAAGGTGAGTTGGCTTCAGCGCCTTTAGTGCCTGTTTCCACATCCCAAATGTGGAAATACCACAGTATTTGAACTTCATGGTCAAAACTAGACCTGCAAACAACCCTGCAGAAATATCTTTGAACCTCTTCATTGAGAAGTAACATAGAACCAGCATGGATTGAGTGACGGTCGCTCATCCAGTAAAAAAGGTTGTTCCTTCAGCACTGGAACTAGAAGGGTTTAGTTTCCTCCTGACTTATTTTGTTACCATTCTGATTATTCTGATTTCTTAATGCTTTTCCAGGGTTTATCTGTCTTTTTTTCTCTCCAAGAACTTCCCCATTCACCTCCCCTTTCTCTCTGACAGGGCATGTAGCAACATTCAGCTTCATTGTTGCTAGGAATGGAAGAAGCTTGAATTGCCTTTCCATTTGTAGGGACACTAAACTTTGTACTTTCAAGACCACTGCCCTTCTCAAAATTAGATTGAAATTGGTAGTAAGTTACTTACTTGTTTGTAGCTCAGCCTCTAAAACATCACTTCCTTATGAAACAAATCTTCTGTTTAAAAAAAACCCCACCAATAATCAAGCAACTGTGGCTATTTAACCACAAGAGCAATCATGAGTTCTATTGAAATTTGTATTTAGTCAAACAAGCTCAACTAAGCACAGAGTCTAGACTACAAAGAAGATTCAAACTGTATGTAATTAATTCTCTTGAATTTTTATGTCAGTTTTTAACATTACAGGTGCTCTCTATTCCAGCTGTTTTATCTCAGAGATCTCCACTGATAAACAAGGAAGGTAACTTTTATCAGAGAAATCACAGAATGGTTTGGTTGGAACAGACCATAAAGATCATCTAGTTCCACCCCCCCTGCCATGGGCAGGGACACCTTGCACTAGCCCAGGTTGCTCAAAGCCCCGTCCAACCTGGCCTTGAACACTGCCAGGGAGATGACAGCCACAACCTCTCTGGGCAACCTGTGCCAGTGCCTCACCATCCCCACAGGAAAGAATTTCTTCCTTAGATCTTAACTAAATAAAGTGGCTTACTTTAAACCCACTACCCCTCATCCTATCCCTACACCCCCTGATCAAGAGTCCCTTCCCATCTTTCTTGTAGCCCCCTTTAAGTACTGGAAGGCTGCTGTAAGGTCTCCCCAGAGCCTTCTCTTCTCCAGTCTGAACAGCCCCAACTCTCTCATCCTGTCCTTGTAAGGGAGGTGCTCCAGCCCCCTGGTCATCTTCTGGGCCCTCCTCTGGACCCACTCAAGCACGTCCTTCTTATGTTGCCAGAGCTGGACACAGCACTGCAGGTGGGGTCTCACGAGAGTGGAACAGAGAGGGAGAATTGCCTCCCTTAGCCTGCTGGCCACACTGCTCTTGATGCAGCCCAGGATACAATTGGCTTTCTTGGCTGCAGATATACATTGCGGTGTCACATTGAGCTGCTTCTCAACCAACACTCCCAAGCCCTTCTCCACAGGGCTGCTCTCATTGCACTCATTGCCCGGCCTGTACTTGTGCTTGGGATTCCCCCTACACTTGTGCAGGACCTTGCACTGGGCCTGGTGGAACATCATGAGGTTTGCACAGCCCCACCTCTCCAGCCTGTCCAGGTCCTTCTGGATGGCACATCCCTTCCCTCCAGTGAGTCGACTGCACCACACAGCTTGGTGTCCTCAGCAAACTTGCTGATGGTGCACTCAATCCCACTGTCCATGTCGCTGACAAAGGTGTTAAACATCTCCAGTCCCAACACCGACCCCTGAGGAATTCCACTTGTCACTGCACTCCCCTTGGACATGGAGCTGTTTACCACAACTCTTTTGAGTGTGACCATCCTGCCAATCCCTTGTCCACTGGAGTGGCCCATCAGTCAAATCCATCTCTGTCCAATTTAGAGACAAGGATGTTGTTTGGGACAGTGTCAAACACTTTGCACAAGTTCAGGTCAGTAACATCTGTTGCTTTTCCCTTCTCTGCCAGTACTGTAACCCCATCGTAGAAGGCCACCAGATTTGTCAGGCGCAACTTGCCCTTAGTGAAGCCATGTTGGCTGTCACTAACCACCTCCTTATTTTCCATGTGCCCTAGCATAGTTCCCAACAGGATCTGCTCCATGATTATCATTGGGCATAGAGGTGAGACTGATTGCCTGTAGTTTCCTGGGTCTTCCTTTTTTTTCCCTTTTTAAAAATGGGGGTTATGTTTCCCCTCTTCCAGTCAGTGGGAACTTTACTGGACTGCCATGACTTCTCAGATATGATGGATAGTGGCTTAGTCACTTCATCTGCCAGTTCCCTCAGGACCTGCAGATGCATCTCATCAGGTCCCATGGACTCGTGCACTTTCGTGTTCCTTAGATGGTCTCAAACCTGATCATGTCCTACAGTGGATGGTTCTTCATTCTCTCAGTCTTCCCTTTTGCCTTCTGCATCTTGGGCAGTGTGACTGGAGCACTTGCCCTTGAAGACCGAGGCAAAAAAGTCATTGAGTACCTCAGCCTTCTCCATGTCCTGGGTAACCAGGTCTTCCATTTCCTTCTGGAGAAGGCACATGTCTTCCGTAGCCTTACTTTTATCACTGGTGTACCTATAGAAGCTTTTCTTGTTGCCCTTGATGCCCCTGGCCAGATTTAATTCTGTCAGGGCTTTGGCTTTCCTAACCTGATCCCTGGCTACTCAGACAATACCTTTGTATTCCTCCCAGGCTTCCTGTCCTTGCTTCCACCCTCTATATCAACCTGTAATATACAGAAAATACTGAAAATTTTACAAAACTACATGACCAGTCGTGTTGTTTGGGGTTTTTTTTCCAATTTTGCTTATTATTTAGATGTTAAGAAAGTGTAAATCAAACTAATGGTTTGCTGCTGCTTTCTCCTGATTGATAGGTGAATCATACACAGTGATATGTCAACACTTGATTTTGTTTTTGAAATGTTTCTGATATCTGATGATGGGAATACCCCAGTGCCCCAGACTCTTTTAAGAATAACACCTAAAGAAATCCAATACATACATACAGTCCTGGCCTGTTGGGACAGGCAGTGTTCTTCTCCTGCCTTCTCTAAATAATGTCGTCTTTCAAATTGTGTATGGATACCGAGTCACCTATGCACTGCTGGTCTTCTGCCATGCATAAATTCTACTGTTTCCTGAGGGTTGGTCATTTGCATGCCTGGGTGTAGTGCAGCAGACAGAAGTGGTAAATGATAATGCTCTGGGATCAGAATTGGCTGCCAATGACAAGTGATGGGTTAGTTCAGTGCGTGCTAATTAGTTTCCTTTAAAAACTGCACTGGGGAAGCTGGCTACCTAGTTAGCTTCCCTCTGCCCATATTTTTATGTCTTTTCATAGCATGGCTGCTTTGCTGTTACTGCTCCTTCTAGGAGTAGAAGGTAGGAATAAAATGGGTGAAAAGGAAAGGATGTAGACACACAAAGGGGAAGAAGGAAGACAGTGGAGGACTTCAAAAGAGTGAAGATAATAGTCAGAATGAGACAGAAGTAAGATGCCTAATATTGGTATTTGTGCCACCCCAAGGGAGGAAAAACTGACTTTCATGGAAGGGCAAACAAAAACTCTGGATTGTTATTTTACAGGCCAGTCAGCTCTGATGCAGTTTTTGACCATCTCAGTCTGCACAAACTCCAACCCTGACACTGCACGAGTACATGCTTAGCATGTGCATGTGTTCTTCAGTATTGATGCTCTTGGCCACTTCTTGTCTGTCTTCCAGCATAGATCACAACTATGATTATACTTCGGGAAAGAGTTCCTTTTAAGTCCTTGCACAAGGAAGAGCTTTTGCATGGCAAATGCATTAATTCTGTCTTTAGTTCTTGAGGACAAAAGCTGGAAGAAACTAATTTACTGTCTGTATTTGCTCTTACAGTGTGTTTGTGTTTAAAGGTGGTTTTTATTTTACAGGTATTTTGAAAAACAATTTGACCTGTCAGAACAGACCCAACTGCCCATGTTTCTTCACTGTAGAAACTCACATGCTGAATTTTTAGGTGGGTTTAGTTTGAGAATTTCATATTCAGAGCAAATTCTGAATATGTAAAATCTGGAAACCTGAATCTTTGACCTTTTTCTGTTATAAAGCTGTCTTACATTTTTATTTATTTCCTTTCGTAGACATAATGAGAAGAAACCGAGATAGATTTGTAGGAGGGGTGGTAAGTATGGATTTCAGTTTAGCATTCTTTTTTATATGCCTGTGTGTGAATATTGTTGCTTAATATGCAACTTCTTGTTTGTCATAGAATCTGGGTAGGCTTCCTGTTACATGGTTTAAGTTATTACTAATTAGTGTTTTCCAGTCCCTTCTAGTATTTTTATTTTCATTGCTTATTCAACAGGTTTTTTGCAAGGTAAGAAGATAGGCTGAGAAAAAGCTTTGCAGCTGACATGGGCAGTTTTTCTTGGCTGTCAGAAGGACAGTTTAAGCACCTTATAACTGACACTGGCCTTTTCCCAATTTGTCAGTGTCTGTAACTGCAGTGCATTCAGACCACAGATAATTCAGATGCATGTTCCCAGTGGAAGCCATAACCTCAAACATTTGCTTCTTACGTTAGACATCGTTTTCAAATTAGATCCAGATGTAACTTTTGATTACTTTAGGTATTCAGATCATGTACTTTAGTTCACAAGCATAAGAGGAAAAACTTTGGATGAAATAGTTAGGAAAGTCTAGCAACGCGCTCTCAGGTTTCCATTATGGCAGGGTTTTCCAGAAGTAATAGATGCTTGGATTACTCTATCCTACTAATATCACCACACCTCCTACAATAGTATGTCAGTCCCCAGGTTTCCCTTTTGTTACTGCTAAAACTTTCCCCCCTAGCTGAGTACTTTGCATGTTGTGCTCTTATGTAATACAGTACAGTCTCTCCTTCCTTTCTTTCGCTTTTCTGCAAAACCAGTAATCAGTGGGGAAATGATCAGCCTCTGCAGCTGAGCGTACCCCTCGCAGCATGGGGGAGCAGGCAGTTGGCTTTGCTCCACTCAGGCTGACAAGCTGGCAGTTCCCAGATGCATTACACTGCTTGTACATTGTGACCTCTCACTTGCCTCTTCAGTCACTGTGATAACCTGATAGACTGTCCCTCTAGTTCCAGTGGGCTAAAATCTGTGGAGAACATAACATGGCTCTTACTGTGTCCCTGACAGTGTGCCCTGTGGGGAATACTGAAGAAAAAATGTAAAAATTCAGCGTGCACAGGATTAGTTCTTGTGTATAGTCTCCCAGCTGTCAGCTACAGGAAGTTCCTGGGCCAAAAGCAGTATCACTGGATAGGCCTTTTCTACACATATTTATCACTATATAATGTGGTGGCCACTTCTATTGCAGCATTCAAGTGACTACAGCCTGAACTTTGCCCAAATTCAGAATCATGTGCCAAATACAGAATCAGCTAAGCCATGCCCCATCTTTATGTTTGTACCAATGTGCAATGCATACTATCAAATATTTATGACACAAATAAAAAATTATATGTACTTTTAAATTATTCGAGTTTTATATTGAAGTACATATATTTGTATAAATGTGTTCATTTGTATTTATATATGTTCTAGGTACATTCTTTTGATGGCACAAAGGAAGAAGCAGCAGCTATTATAGATTTGGATCTTTATATTGGAATAAATGGCTGGTAAGTTCTTTACAAGAAATAAAACTATTTTTAAATGTCAGCTGTAGCGAACTCATTGCTTTTCTTTTAAACAATGAGATCAAGTTTTCAAATCTCACTAGACTGTTAATCATCTGACAGATTTAGAATTGCACTCATTAGTCTGTTAGCTATAAAAAGTTCTTAACTCACAGCTCAGTGAGTTAATCTAGTCTTAGGTCCATTCTACTACCCTCAGGTCAATCCTTGTTTGTAAATAAATATGGTTCTTGAACGTGGAAGCAGTCCTTCTGAGAAGCATTTAAAAAATAGTATAATTTTAAGCTGCCATGTCAAATCCAGGAGAAATGCAAATGTAACCTGAGCAGCCTCATCTACTGGTTACGCAGTCTGAATTCTCAGCAGTCATCTGGCCAAAAGCCAGCCAGCACTGCTTTATAAGTTCATGGGTTGCCGAGGCCAGGCAGGTGTGGGCAGTGCAGGCAGGGGTTCCGCATGCTTACTAGGGTGAGACGGCTTCACTGAGTAGCTCTCCAAATTTGCTGTTTTCTGCAAAGTTCAAATGTACAGGCAGCACTTTTGAAAAATGAAGCAAATTTTATTCATTAACAACATTATTTAGGAAGCTGCGTTTGCTGCAAAACATTTCAAGAGGCAAATTACTTATTTCTATATACTGTTTTTTTAACCAAACTCTGATCTTCTAGTTCTTTGAAAACAGAAGCCAACTTGGAAACACTGAAATCAATTCCTAGTGAACGATTAATGATAGAAACTGGTAAGATTTTCTATCTTGGTCAGTTTGTGACTTAAACACTATTGGGCAGCGAGATATGCTTGTATAGCAATGATAAGGCAGAAGCAGGACCTAAGGAGTTCAGGGTAGGAAAAGGACTGGCTGTTTCTCCGCTTTGGAAAGCAGTTCACAGGCTCCAGAAAGACTCCTTTTCAGCCTTCTGCTAAGTAAGCTGCTATGTCAGGTTCTGACACTGCAGGGGAAGATGGAAAGGACAAATGGACAAGCCCAGATTTTTAAATGTACTTAGGTATCAGAATCCTTCTTGATTCTCTTTTAAAATCTGGCTTGCTGGAGATGTGCCAGACACAGGGTTGTGAGCTTGCCACTGGTAGCAGTAGCAGCATTTGGAAACAACAGCTCTTTAAATGGGGTAAGGGAGAAGAATGCTTCAATTCCCCTCTTGGCCTAATGAGAAGTGATTTTAATTGACTGACTAGGTATGCCTTTTTTTTTTTTCTTTTGGCATGTTCATTTCAGTTCTCAATAACTGGCAATTATAAATACAGTGTTTATTTAAATTTGTGAATATGAGAAAGGAAAATAACAAACTGCCTAAATTCTTAGATTTATTGACATGTGAAGTACAGACCTGTTGAAGTATACAGGAACTTTCTGCGGAACACAGTGTATCTAGCTATCTTTATCACGTCAGAGGAAATTAGTGTTACATACTATTATTGCTGATTTTTTAAAATGTAAAATCCTGAAGGTTAAGGGTATAAAAATCCAAACATTGTGAAGATGTTAAATTGCCCAAATCTCTTAAATTCCATTTTGAATCGTAAGTCACTGCTAGAGATTGCAAGAACTTTTGTCTGTGGAAGTAGTTGATTAAACTATCCCATGCTATTCTCAAATGATTGCATACTCTTAATTCTTTTTTTCAAATTAAACTAGATGCACCTTGGTGTGGAGTGAAAAATACTCACGCTGGATCAAAATACATTAAAACTACATTTCCAACAAAAAAGAAATGGGAAATAGGGCACTGCCTGAAGGACAGAAATGAACCCTGCCATATAATGTAAGTCTACTGCTGTACCATTATTTAAAATACTTCATATCTCACAGGGAAAAAAATTGAAAAAATCAGTTCACTGAAAATGTAGTAAATAGACATGAACTCTAAATGTAGTGAAACTTATGCAAGGTATTGCTTTATAGGCTGTGGAAAAATTTAGTCTTCATTTTCCCACTTCAGCAATTTTGAATGTAAAAAGCTCCCTGAAAGGAAAACCAGTACTGCCTTTATCTTTTCACTTGGTACATTAAAGAAGGGGTTAAACCCTGTGAAGTAACCTGACTTGAATAAATTTCACTCCGTTGTTGTGCCAGTTATTTTTAAAATTGACAGCGCACTGGAGCTGTGCAGCCCTCTGCAGAGGGGGCACTACTGAGACACCCAGTAGTGCCTCTGCTCGTATCACAGCGCCTGGGACATGAACTGCCATAACATCAATCTGCTTAGGGTCATTTCTTCAGGCTGCTACTGTGCCTACAAAAAAATTAAGTTTCACAGAATAGTGTGATTCTATGTAGTTTGGATGTGAACAGCAGTCAACATAGAGAACAGCGAAAGAAAACTCCAGGGGCTTGTCGACAGAGTTAGAAAAGTGCAGAAACTGTTTTCATGTGCTTTATGGCAGAGGTGTGGAAAGCAGGGAAAGTTTAGTGAAAATGTTATCTCCATTAAATAGCACTGATGGATTAAATGCCTGAAATATCACAACACTTATTGAAGTCTGGTCAGTTAGTTATACCAATTTTCTCAGTCATCTTCTTGTTACCAACTCTCTGAAAAGAGAGAGGAGTTTGGGAAGGTTTCTTCTTGCAGTGAATGAATTTTCAGTAAATAAAGCTCACAGCTGTACTGATGCAGGTGCAAAGCCCATTTATTCGAGTTTTGTTGTTGTTGTGAAGTCTGTATATGGATGAAAAGCTGTGTAGATTACCTGTTTGGAACTAGCTTTTGAAAAACTGCTCAGGACAGTACTGAAGAATGTAGGTATTCAGTGTCTAAACAAGAGTCTGAGAACAGAAGGAAGTTCTGCTGCTTTTTTGGGAGACCCAAAGAAACTCTCGGAGAGAGACGACCACTGATCATGCTAAAAGCACAGTTTAAGCTTACAGGGTGACATCTCCTAGTGTTCAGATAAATTTTATGCAGTTATGTCAAGTTGTAATTCCCTTTGAAATTGGCTTTAAACACAACGTGCACACACTACCATGGAAGGGCTCTTTCTAGGGTTAGTCCATGATTTTGGAGTAGATGAATAAATCCAGGAAGAACAGTTCTCTGGTCCCAGCTGGAGGACCTCTACTGCCACTGAATAAGGCTATTTCAGTAAGCCTGGGTGTGTTACCACCACCTCCTGTCTCCCCGTCTGCAGCCTTAGTGGTAGTTTACACAAGTGTTCCAGAACCCCAGAACTGGAAATGCAGGGAGTCTGTTCTAGAACAGTACACAACTGCTATACTTTGGCTTTTGCTTTCTGTTATAAAACAGTATCTTATTTAGTTCAAAATTATTTCAAAGTTACTGTCCCTTTAAAACATTAAATATGACCTGTACCGATTGTAGAGTAGTAACCCGAGAACCTCTTACACCTTAGAAAAGATGTAGTAACTGAGAACTGGTATTTTGTGACTTCGCAGAGAGCAAGATCTGCTGTGAGGGGCAAGATAGACTCAGGCCAGAGCATATTTAATGTTTAGGGTATATATACTGTTTAATATAGCTCAGTTAGCAGGAGGAATTTTCCACTTGTCTTTTTTTTGGTGGTGCTGGATACCTTTCAGTTTTGATGCTGGGTGGTATTTCTGCTTTGTATGTATTTTCAGAACTGCACTACTCACCCTTGGAAGCTATTTTTTTTAAACTTTAGCCACAAGATGCTCTTTTTTTCCCCCTCCTTCAGTGACTTCATATATGCAGTGTTACATCTTGCATCCAAGTGGGAATAGATCTATAAGTGCTACCAAGGCTCTTCAAGGGTGAAACTCTTCGGTGTTTGTTACTTCTGCGTTGGCCTGATCTCACCCCATCTCATCTTAAGGGAATATCCCCTTAAACCCAGAAGCTCTTTGGCTGCAAAACACAAAAGTGGTCATGAAATGGGCTAATTCTGCATCTAGGAAAATATCTACATTCCAGTAGTTAAGAGCAACTTTCTCTATTCTGTCTTCCTCAGAAGTTTAGCTATTGCATAAGTTAAGAGACAAGATCTAAAAACCAAAACCACCAAACCCTACCACCAGGCTTGAGGTTCTTACTCTTTGCTCTGAAGGGTTTTTTCCTGCTAATAGAAGAAATGAAAGTATGACTTATCTTAGGAAGTGCACAGAATTTATTTTTTTTTCTGGAATGGTTGATATAAAATCAAGAAAATAAGTACAGAGAAAAGACTGCCTTGGTTTTCTGTTAGTGTTAATATTATTCATCCCATTTGTTTTGCCTCCTTTTCCTAGCTTGTATCAAGGCTATGGGCCTTTTAAAATTGCTCATTTAACATTAACTGCAAATACCTATATGTGTTAATCACAATTAATCTAGAGAATGAGGAAGTAGGAATAAGTTACTTCGGCAGCTATACTCTCAGATAAGGCTGTCTGGAATCTAAGCTTTGCCATAGTGCAGCTTTAGCCTTGAAAGGCTAATGAGTTTCAGTCTGGAAAATGAAGACCATTGATAAAGACACCCACAAAAGGACACTTTCTTTGAAACAGAAAGCTTTTTAATTACCTCCAAACAAGAGTCAAAAGACCAAAGATGAATCTGTACCAGTGAGCAACCAGTGTTCAGTGTAAAGGGAATGGCAGTTAGTGACTTAAAAGTGAAGCTATTTGCATATCTGAGCACCTTGCCCTGTTGCTCTCAGCATATATTTTTATTCCAGATTAATTTTAGTGACTTGTATATACACATGCAGCAGTCTGAAGTATATTCAGTACTGAGTTTCAGCCTTCTAATATCAATCCTTCTTTTTTAGTCAAATACTGGAAATAATGGCGGCAGTAAGAGAAGATGACGCACTTGAGTTGGCCAATACTCTGTATAACAACACTATTAAAGTCTTCTTTCCAAATACATAGTCATTTTTCTTACATTTATTCAGCATAACTTTAGTAAATATATTGCAAAAACTCAAGAATTATATCTGCAAGTTCTTATCAATGGAAGCCAATATGTAGTACTTTTTTTTTTATGGTACAAGATTAAAGCTGCTTTTGAAAAGGTGGTATGCATCTGTGCAGTTTCTCAGCCCTGTTTCCCTTTTGTCAAGATTCAGGATCAATTTTAAGGACAGCCCAAGCTAGCAACTCTTGTTAACACCTGTATGCCTTACAAGATGAACACCAGGCTGCCGGGTTCACAAGTAGAGCACTTCAAGCTACTACTGGTAATTCAGAAGTGTTTAACACATCAATGGCATGCTTTACTACTTCACCAGAAAGCTTAGCAGTTTCATCTTTTGTTCCACATATGCAAACGCTGTAACATTAAGTCTACCAACCTAATTCATTCTTTATTTTTTAAAAACACAACTCACTAGTTTTTAGCGATAAAGCTCTGCTAATACTGAATTTGTAAATAAAGCTGCTTTGGTTCAGGCTTTTCATTTCTGATTTGACCAGCTGAACAGTCTGTTTTCGCCAGTATTTTTCATTTGCATCCAGAACTCACTGATCAGGGATTACTGGTATACAGTCTTTGGCACAGCATTATCACTACATCAATTAAAGAGTGTTTTTCCAACCATCTTAAAAACATGTGAAAACATTTTATTCCATGTACAATAATGTACATAATTTTAAGGTGGTCATGAAAGAGACCAGCAAAAATTAGAGGTATATTTACAGTAGCACACACCACAGTAAACAACCACCATTCACAGACTCAACATTGAGATACTGCTGTTGTGCTTAAGTACAATAACTACAAAGTGATACTTTATTCTGTTGAAGTCAATCTTAAACAAATACCTCATGGCTTAGTAAAGGGCATCTTAATCACCAAGAGAGTTAGAGTCAACATTGAGAGTCTCATTCATGTGCTGTGCCACACACTCATCATCTTCCTCATCACTATCAGAACTGTCATTATCTTCATTTAATTCATTTTCAGCATCAGCAGCTTCTTCTGCAACTTGTACAGGATTTTCATTTGGTGCCACAAACCCATTGTTGTTAGAGATACTGGCATTTTCCTTGTCCTCAATATACACTTTCTGATGGCACATTGGGCAAGTGTCCTGAATGTACAGCCACTTCCGAAGACAAAGTGCATGAAAATAATGATTGCATGGCGTAATGCGAGCAGAGGTGGTGAACTCATGGTAGCAGATTGCACAGACATCATCTATTTCATGTAACCGACTTCCTTTTACCTCAGGAAGGGAGTTTATTTTCTTAACAGCAGTCCGGCGATTTATAAAAGTCTTCCAGCCATTCTTTGCTTGCAGGTAGATGTTGAAGTATGCGTGTAGACACATCATGCAAGCGCGAATCTTGCTTCCCGATTCGAAAACCATTGTGTAAGCTCCATTTCCAAACATGATCACTCCAAATATAAACTCAATAATATTGCCAGTTGAACGAACGTAATAGACATAATCATCAAGTTTTTCCCATAGCACATTATAGTAGCCATCAATCATAAACAATATATAAACAGTGATAGAAACTATTACTTTTAGGCAAAGCTCTACACAGAATGCTGTAACTGCAAAAAGCCACGTATTTAGTGCATAGTGGTGCCAGAGGATGTAACTGAGCAGAACTGGAAGGATGAAAAGGCAAGCAGAAACAAACAGTACAGGGAAGTGTCTGCGAAATGATGACACGTGGGAGGCACTAAGAGACATGAGCACGGGGTCTGTCATTCCATGGATAAAATGCAGGACTGCAGTCAACAAAAGGCACATGTTTCGACTCAGGCGAACTAACCGTTCTTCTGGTTTCAGTCCACTTAAACCAGTCTGCAGAGCCAAAATGAAAAACAAGACAGGTGCTACAAAACCAAGCCTTTTGTCATCCTCATCAGTTGATCCGATGAAGGCCAAGATGCCGAGTCCCAAATAATGCGCTATTGAGGAAATGACGGCACTCATGCCTAACACGGTTAACGTAGAGTCGCACCCACTTATGATCAGACTGCAGAGCAGCTCCCAGCAGTTATCCCATGATATCAAGAAGAATTTTGCTTCTGTATTAGTTTCAGCCATCTTTACAACATATGTTAATACCACAGCTTGTGCTGTAAGTCTCGTTAGCCAAAAGACACGTAGTACTGCTGGAAACCGAATCCTTTTCCATGTATCTTCCATCAATAGCTGTAATCCATAAATGCGATACATGTGCCTCACCAGCAGATAAACGTATCGCACCGAGTAATAGAACCATTTAATTTTCGTAACTAAAATGGCTGTGGTATTTAGAGTCAGAACTAGGCCTGAAATAAAAACTAGTATCTGCCGGACATTTAAAGGTAATTCAACAACCAAGCCAATTACAGGAATCAGTATATCCAGGATGATGAGCTGAGAGTATATGGACTGCACGTTCAGCAATGTGACATACCCAATGCCAAAGGTAAGCTGAAGGATGGAAAGCGCCATCCATAGCGAAGGTCCTTTATGAGGGAAGATCTGAATTCCGAACGCGGCTGTGTAGTAGGCACTGTAGAAGTTTATGTGCAAAGCAGCATAGTAATTCACCAACACTGAAGTCGCAGCCAGCAGAAATGCCGAGGCGATCATATAAAACTTGAAAAGTGCTCGCTGTTGTAAGACCAGAACAACACTGGATACAAAGACACCTAAAAACAGATTGAAATAGTTTAGTTCTCAGCAGAAATTCAACAACAGATTAACCTATTAGCTTTGGAGCTCCATTTATTTAATGTATCATTTCCTAACTAGTCACTTGCTACTCTGCATTACCAGTGGTGCCCTTTTCAGAGAACAGACACAAGAACAGTGTAATCTGTGTTTAATACATCAGGGCAGTGCAGCTGCGATGCAAAGCCAATGCAAGCATAAAGTCACAATCACTGTTAAATTCATCTGTGGTTTCAGACTAGAGCAGTGATAACTCCCAGCCTTTCAGTCTTAACTCCTGAAATCTAAGGGTAGACAAGTTCTAAAAGCAGAAAAGAATTACCAGATACAGCATCATCTTTATAGGCAAAGTTAATAAGGAATAAATAAGTGAAATTTATGAAGTCCCTTAATTCACTTGAGCAAAGCACTCGGCTACAGACGTCAAGCTGAAGTACTAAAGATAACAGTGGACAGAACAGTTTAGCTAAACCTTTTAATGGGAAAACAGCAAAAAAATGGTCATTTACTAGGGAGAGGGCACTCTTCTTCCAATTCCCTACTATTTGCTTTAATTTCTGAAAAGGCATCCTGAAACTAAAGTCTTACGGAAAAAAACATCCACAGTATAAAGCTTTTGTACACAGAATCCAAAACTGCACCAATCGCCTCTTTGCCAATGGCAGTGTGAACCTGCCTATTACTTGGTAGAAGTCAGATTTAGATCTTGAAATTCCTGTTTGCTAACCTTTCCCTCACACTGATCACAAACACATCTTGACCGTGACTGGAAGTCTGCACTCTCCTATGTGAAATCCTACCACAGCATCTGTAGCACCTTGGCATTAGATTTAGAACTGTGCAGTAAACTTCTGCAGCATAGCTTATGAATTTCATCACTACATACTACATAGGTAAGGGCTCTGCCCTAACAGATGTTTAATTAAACAACACTTATCACTAGATTCACTTCCTTTTTTTTCTTTTTTTTTTTCCCCCCAGGAAATACACTGCCTTTGTTTTGGGCTTCTCAGTCAGCTTCCAGTCTAGAACTGCTTTCTCATCCAAACCAATTTGGAGAGATTTCGATCTCTACAACTTATATTTTAAGTTGCTTTCAATCTCTGTAGTAAAACTAATGAAATCGCAAGTAATCCTCTTCCAACTGGAGGACAGTATCAGTCTTTTCTGACAATTGTCTTTTAGATTGTTCCAAATCCTCCATAATCAAGTGTTTAAAAAAAAAATATTTTAAGCCATGTTATCTTGATCATGGGAATAAAAAAAAAATGCTAAGAACCAGCATTTGATTCCACCAGTAGTGTTGCCAGCTGCTTGTATCAAAAAGACCCCAACCAACCCCACCCTTCCCCCCAAAAGACCCCCAGCCTAGAGGACTGAATAAGAAGGGAGAGGGTCAACATGCATCAACAGCAAAAGGCAGACTACAAAAAGTTATTAATGCACCTTAACAGTAGCACTGGCTCATACAAAAACATTCTCTTTAACTAATCATTAACCTAGTAACCTTGTGAAGTTGACCGAGGAAAAGCCTCAATCAGTTTTCAGCAAGTGCCTTGTATCACAGCTCTGTTCTTCCAATAGCTGGGTATGCCTCACATATAGCACTTATTTTAAGATATCCTTGATGGTTTCCCACCATAAACACCTTTGGGAAAGCCCACACTGCTGCCAAGTCTGTACCCTTTGTCCTTTCTCACAAGTCACAGAAAAGACTCAGATGCCCGTAACAAGCTCATTATTTACGTAAGTCTGATCATTTGAGCCAAATGAGATGCATTTTTCACTAAGCAAGCTGCTTTGAAACAAGCCTGTTAAAACCTATTTTTCTTGCTTGCAATTGCAGTAACAGGCCTGTATTTACTACAGGTCATCTTAAAACAGTGACGTTTCACATGCAAGACACATCCCTAAGCACTACAGAGAGTCAATAGAAAAGCTAGACCTATTGGTTCCTCTAAAGAGGGGCTAACAAAAGGTAAAACATTTCTCTGTCATCACTTGTGTGGGAAAGTCAAGACACCCCTCCCCCCCACAAAGGAATCACAAAAGACCACAGGAGGTAACTCAAATCTGGGAAGGGGAGGTGAGCACTCCTCTCCACCATTTAGGTCATTCAGTCTATCTGGCCAGGACAAGACTTCCCCCTGCCCTGCAAAGTGTTCTCCAAACAGTAAATCTTTTCCCACTTTCCCTTGATAGGAAATGGCACAGCTCCCCCTTTGATAAGATTTGTCTCCTCTTTCTGTACATACCGCTGCCCATCTTCACTGTTCCTATCTGTACAACCCCACCAGCAGCTAGCTGCTCCAGTATGGCCCCAAACACAACATTTAACCAAACCACACACATTTACTTTTAAAATAATTTGTGTTATAATGAATCCCTCATTTTTTCCT